CTTTTGAGTTTGCCGACTCTGATCATATTTAGATAAGGTCATAGTCAAAGTGGAAGTTCTCTCCTCCCTTCAGAGAAAGGTACCTCCTTCTTTGATGACCTGTTCTTTCCACTGGGATCTTACTCGCAGAGATCTTTCATTTAGGTCATTTCATTTTTTTTTTTTTTTTGCCAGAGTGTCTTGGTTTTTCATGCCTGAAATACTCTCATGGGCTTTTCAGCCGTATACGAATACCTTAAGGGCTGATTCTGAGGCCAGAGTGCTGTTTAGGACGTCTGCCATTCTATGAGTCTGCTGTGTATCTCACTTCCCAAGTTGGATCGTTCTCTCCCTTTTTTATTCTATCAGTTAGCATTAGCAGACACTAGTCTTGTTTATGTGATCCCTTTGACTCTTAGTCCTATCATTATGTTCAATTGTGAACAGAAATTGATCACTTGGACTAGTGAGATGGCATTGGTACATGCCACCTTGATGGGATTGAATTGGAATCCCCTGGCACGTTTCTAACTCTACCATTTGGGGCAAGTCAGCTTGAGCATGTCCCAAGTTGTACATCTCTTCCCTCTCTTATTCCCACTCTTCTATTTAACAGGGATCACTTTTCAGTTAAGTCTCAACACTTAAGGGACAAGTCACATTTATGTTTAACATTTAGAGACTGAAGTCCGTAATTTCTGAGTGAAATTTTGTGTGCTTCCCTTTGGAAGATTTAGTTTTAATTCTGCCATACATTTAGATGATGCAATTTTAGAGATTGTGGATTATGTTTAATTCTTGAGAAAATAACTAAGGATATATGGCAACTTGAACCCCCAAACTGAACCATAGTGGCTTTGTAGTTTGCATTCACAGGGAGCTCCCACACCACACCTGCAAGGGTCTTCCTTCATGAGTAGTGGTGATTACCACCCATCATCCACTCTACCCCTTGCATCATGGAGCTCAACAGTATGTGCTTCGTCTTATAACCTCAAGTATATGGAATTTGTATAAAGAAATTTACTCAAGACTTCTCAGTGTATGCTAACTTATTGGTAAGCGCCAACAACATTTTATTGGTAGGAATGTCTCAAATAATTAAAGTACTAAACACATAAATGTGTATTTTCATACACTTTTTCCCCTCCCCACCCCCGTTAGTTTCAGGTAAATCTTTATGGCTAACACATGCTGTTTGAGATTAAGAAAAGGTTTATATTTTATGTGTTCTGTTGATTCCAAGTAGACATTTCAAATTTGATAATGGTTTGCTTAATGTTACTTGAAAGATGAGATGCTTTCCTTAAATCCTTATGTCCTATGCCAAAGTCTTAACAATTCACAACTTAACTCACTATTTTCTTGAAAGAATTTGATTAGTGATATTTTTAGGGACTGTTTTCCATTTATAGCCTTATTCTTATTTGTATAACCTTTACTTTAGTGCTTATAGTTTTTCAAAAACTTTGCTCCTCTGTTTGTAGAATGTGAAGCATCTATTATTAATGAAACATCGGTGAATTCTTTTTCTGAATTGTCTTGAGAAAATAATGTTCTCTTACTCAGAAAAAAATTGTTTTAAAATGGAGTACTCTTACAGAAAAATCATTATATCCACATATGTTCATAAGATACACTATTAAATTTAGTAGTCCCATCACATGTAAGCTTCAGATATTGTTGCTTTAATGCATTCCCTCACTACTTTGATAAAAGCCTTAAGATGTTGCCACTAGTTCTTTGATGATTTCCTCTGATGTTACAGTACCTCTCTTTTTTCCTCCAAAAAAAATCTGTTTTGCATAAACATGAGAAGTCAAGGCAGTTTGAGTTAACGAGTAAAAAAGAATCAAGTTTTAGCAATAAAAGCACATATATTTGTGATCAGTTTTCTCTCACATTATAGTCATCTTTCTCACTGTAAGTAAAGTTTATTTTAGATTTCTGGAAAACACAAATGATTAGCTTTAAAGGAAGTCCAAATTTGTCTTGAAAATTTATAATTTTGAGGTTTATTTAATAATTTTTTCATCTTGTTAATGAGGTTTATTCATTGAGTTTAGAGGGATAAAAGTTCTATTGACCTAGATATTGACTTATTCAGATTCATTTTCCTCATCACCCCTGCCTGATTTCTAAATGAGTGTTGCATGTTGTTGGATTCATGCACGGATGGTGTTTTTTTGTTGTTTTGTTTTTTAACGTTTAGTTTCAACTTCCAAAAATTCTGCAGCAACTATGTTGAATAAAAAGTCATTGTAGATTATTTATTATGTCCGAAGTTAACTTTGGTATTACTGTAGGGATAATGCACTCCAATTTGTCCGTTTTAACAATGAAGTTCAGTTTTCAACTACACACTTAATATGCAGCATTAACCAATATGAGCCAAACAACTCTGAGCTTACTTGCAAAATGGGGTACTGCCTCTCTCAGAGTAGTTCTTTTTACCAACGTCTGGTCAAAGTCATCTGCCCTGTGAGTGTTTTCCTGAGCTTGCATAACCCATTTACTTGTTTCCTCTTCGTATTCAATTCAATCCTTCTAATGCTTATGCTGTATTATATATGTTTTAAAGCCAAGAATGTTCTGTGGTTCTGTTCTAGAAAAGAATGCCATTCTACTCTCTCTCAGTGGTATCTGCAGGGCTGCATTTATCTCATTGTGCTAAATTTTCATTTTCACTTTGCTACCTATACTCTGTGAATTGATAATATAGACATCTGAAGCCTAACTGTGTCTGATACGTTCACCTGTTTTTTTCCTTTAAAATTAAGGTTACTAGGCACCAGTTCCACTATTGTTCCTTCCCTGTCACACCTGTTGTGTTTCTCTAACACCGGATTTAGAGCTTTGTATCAGATTGCCAGCAGCAGGTGAACAGTTGTAGGTCTGCACATTGTGTGAGACACGCATCTCTTGCCTTTTGTCTTGGAAACTGGCTGACCATGCAGCTGTGTCCTGGATGGGTTAGAATCACCAACAGGCATTATGTTTTTATGTTTGTGTATTTATGTGTGTTTCCTCTTTGTTTCAGAACTGTCATCCAAAACAGGGTGAACATAGCAAGAAATATAAAATCTGTGAAATCTCTGGGATTTTCAAAGCTCTGCCTGCTCTGAGTTGAAACCAGACAGTGAAGTACAGTTTTCTACATGATTAGCAAGGTCTACACACAGGACAAAAGAATCTCTTCTGAGTACACCATTGCTTGTCATAAATTTTCACGTACACCACCACAGCCACTGCTAATAACCACCTCTCATGTTCTGTTGTTTAAAATGGAGATTTTTCAAAGGGTTGCATTTTCCAGTTTTCTAAGTTTATAATTTCTTAAGTTTGTTACCTGCCTTTTGTTTTGTTTTATTGTTACATCACTGCATACCATGAAATATGCCAGTGAGAGCTCCTGCTACCTTTTACATACACCCCAGATTACTTGAATCTGGAGCTGATATTTGAGCAGAGTTAATGTTTTATAATATCTAGCTTTATTTCTCTTGGATTTTTTTGGAATATATTTTTCCTTCTTTTGTTCTCTATGCAGTTCTCCCTTTCCTTCATTTGATGCTATCAGCAAAATAAAAAGAAAATCATCATATTGGGAATGTAATGCATCAAATGTTGTAATAAAAGATAAGCCATAAGTAGTACATTTTCTAGTGTTAGCCTGCACACACAAGTTATTGACAGTTAGGGAAATATTTCAGTTAGAAAATTTACATCACAGTCTTGGGACAGGAGATAGATACTGGAATTACATGAACAGAGTATCCTGGGAAATTAAGTATTAATATTCCCTTGACAGGAACCTCAACTTAATAAGAGTGTATTCCATTTTAAATTTCCTAAGCCATGCCAATAAACCCACTTTATTTTGCTATTTGAACTCTGTCCAAATAAAAGTGAATACATCAATGCTAATTCTTTACTCTTTGGCATAGGAATCACAGAACATGGAGGTCCTGCGTGAAGTATGGAACATGAGGGTTAAACCATATTAGACAGAGATCCAAATGGCAGAGATGGGGGCTGGGGATGTGTTTTGGAAAGTGCGGAACAGTGTTCAGTAACAGGATCTTAAAGTCTAGACGTTGTGAATGAACCTATTTGCACTTGCCAGGTTCAGTGTTACTGGAGCTGGCACTCCAGTCATCTCAACACTGTGGAATCCAGGCACTGGAATCGTTTCTTTCTTTTTGACCCCAGCCATTTCTGCACCAGCCACATCAGCCTGTAGTTCTCATCGGCCTGCTTCCTGCCCACTGTTGTTGAACTGTGTCCTGAATGTTTGAGTGTCAAGAGCAAATCAAGGATGGAATTGAATTTTCCAGATAATCAAATTTTGACCCTACAATATCAAGCTCTTTATTGTCTTAACTAGTGTGGATGAAGACACATTCTAAAAATGTTTTATACAATGTCCTTCTTCTTAACCATAACACCTAGAATATGCTTGATCAGCTTTTCTTTGAGATAAATTGTGAGCATTACTGTTTCTTTGGCTGAGCATGGCCACATTGAGAAAGAAACAAAAGGACAGACATACTATAAACTAAACAAAACAAACTTCAAAGTGGGAAACATGGAAAAGTATTTCCACTCACTTCTTTCTATCTCCTTGGTCTTCTGACCCTTTCTAAGTTTTCTTCCTTTCTTATTAGTTGTATTGGTAAACGTATCATAGTATCTTTGGGAAATGTATGCTTTCTCAAAAAAGATTTGAATTTGTTAAATGTCTCTCTCATATTTTATACTTTCTGAAAGATGACAATTTATCCATTGCAGATAGATATTGGAAGATGTTTGTGCCATAGATAAGAACAAAAATCACAATATTGATAAACACATATACTCAAACAGAATTTTTGTTAACTCTTCTCTGGTTTCCTCCTTTTCTCTTACTTGTATTTACAGTGAAATCATTAATAATAAAAGTCATAGCCTATTATTTGAGGAACAGAATGAGTTTCTTATATGACATTATAGAAGAGCTACTCTATGCTAAAGAGTGATTCCTTGGTAATAGTTGATATGTTAAAGACTACTATCCAAGTGCCACAGTCATTCATCCTCTCCACAGAAATCTTTATTGAAAGGCAAAAGATTTATATGATCTGAAGAGAAACCAGAGGCAGTCATTCACCTTAACAACAGATACTCTGGTTCTCTCTTCTTAACACATGGTGAGATAGCAGGTTTGCTTCCTTTGCAGTAGGAAGAGCCATTGACTGCTTATTTGAAGAAGTGATGAATGGCACTTCTTGCAGAAGCTCTAAGGGCCTGTATATGAGTCTCCACATTCTGCTTCCTGCCTCAATGGTGTTGAAAGCATTTAAGGATGGAGCCTCCGTCATCCTAGGTCCTGGAGTAGCTGTGTGGAACAAAGCTTTCCTGCCAATCCACAGCGATGTGTAGGATACCAAATCCCTATTTGTTTTTTAACATTGTGTTTTTTATGGAGTTGTTTGTTATGACAGCATACCCTGTCCTACCTTGTCTGACAGACAGCAGCTGTACAATTTTGGCAGACTGTAGAGACTTGTCATTTTTCTGATCTCTGGAGAGCTGCAGTGTCAATCATGGCAGATACCATCTCATTTGGAACATCCTAACATTACTAAGGAAGAATCTTTATTTTTATTTATTTTATGGAAAATATGTTGTCTGGTCTCTATATAGCCTGCTTACATTAGATGGCAGCCTGCATGAAATACTGTGAATTTTTAGAATTTTGTAATCTTCCCTTCCCAATTTTAAATATATTCTCCCTTCTTTACCTTAAGGATATATTACCTTCAAAATGCAAATGCTTTTGGGAGCAAGAATATTTAAAGTCTTACCAGCCATTTATAACTTAGTGAGCAAGATATATAATGAATTAATTAGAATATTTTCTAAAAATAGTTTTAAAAAGTGGCAAAAATGGGAAGATGAGAAAGAGTAGTGGCACCTGTCTGGGAAAACGAAAAAGGACACAGAGATTGCATGTTCAAGCCAAGTTTGACTATTTCAAAATTTATAGGTGGACTGGTTATATGTTTAATACTCTAGTGTGTGCCAAGATTAAATGCAAACTATAGACAAATCTTAAAGTCCTTGGTATAATAGAAAAGTTAAACTGCATTAATACCACAGAGGTTTCTAGAAACTCATTGTTTTTCAAAACTGAGTTGATTGGGACAGAAAAGTTGAGAGAGTCATTTTATTTTTTTCAGTGGATTTTTATCCATTTCTCACAAAGCAATGGCAAATATATATACATTTCTGTTCACTCTGGTAAGTGATTGCGAGCTAATGTTTTTCAGGTTCACTGAGGTAGATGCAGAACATGTGAGAAGTGGAAATGGACTGTTGTTGTAATTGTACAGTGACAGGTACATTTTAAACATTTGCCATAGCACTTGGGTCTCATGTGTTTTTTGTTAAGTGTGTATAACATCTGTGGAGTGAAAGAAAATGCAGTTGCAAAGATATTAAAGTTTACAAACAATATATTTATTAGCATGTAGTGAAATAGTAGAAATCTGCATATGCTTCAACCTCAGGAAACTTAAACTCCTATGTGTTAGATAGTTTTTACTCCTTAAATAATATCAGGATCCAAGGTCAAATTTGACATTAAGTGTTTCTCTTAAAATTTTAATCTGAGCAGAGTTCAGTCTTATCTCATGAAAACATTTCTTTCCTTTTTAACTTTTTTTGCAGTTCTCAAAACTGGTAATGAAATCAGACTTTTGAATAATCAATATCAATTTTTTCCAAGGGATTTATTTATAATATTATCTCTCTAATGATATGACTTCTATTCATAACATAAAGATTCCAGCTCTGAATACCCATATTTGATTTTATTTGCCTGTTTTCTATGGATTTTTGACTTCCTTTCTAAATTTCTTAGGAGATACATATTTTTACTTTGATTTAGATTTTTAAGAGAGAAGTTAGATTTCTTTGTTGTTTAATAGTTCAGAATTTTTTTCTAAATTAATGATAACCTTAATTGGTCTACATGTTTGGTATGAAAAAAAGTCATTTTAATGCGCATTAAGACCCTTAAAATCTCATGTATAAAATCCATTGCCTTTAGAAAGTTTTTACCCATAACCTTTTATTTTTGAGATTTCTATGAAAGCAATCTAAAGTAACAATGAATATATTGTTTTTCCTTTCCTGATGGAAAGGCCAATATGAAGTCTTCTTAGTCATCTTTCACCTACTCATCAAACTACTTCCTGAGTGCATTTCCAAAGGCATATCAGCTGCCACTGATCAAGCAACATTTTTTCCCTGTATGATTTGTTGATATTTTTAACTTAAACATCTTTTACCTTAGTGGTCAAAAATATGTTTGGCCTTTGAAACCAAGTGATCTGTACATTCAGGCATCTCATGTCACTGTCCTACGATCTTCCGGAAGCCAGCTGTAAGAAAAGCAATCCTTTCATTCCCAATATCAGTTTTCATTTGTGTTTTCATACATGATCCCATTATATTTCTGTTTTTCTATCATGTATTTTTTAAACCATGGGTAATTTATCTTTAGATATTAGGCTTTAATTTCTTTGCAGGTAAGGACTTTTTGTATACATGGCAGGGACATGGCAGGAGTTTCATAGAATCTTATTTGTCAATGGATAAATAAATAGGTTATTAGTTTTGATTAGATGTTAATGTAAAAACATTAAAGGTTAGTATTTTAACTTTTAAAAAAAAGATTTATTTATTTGTTTGAAAGGCAAAGTTACAGAGAGGCAAAGGCAGAGGCAAAGAGAGAGGTCTTCATCCGCTGGTTCACTCCCCAGATAGCCGCAATGGCTGAAACTGCACCAATCCAAAACCAGGAGCCAGGAGCTTCCTCCCGGTCTCCCATGTGGGTGCAGGGGCCCAAGGACTTGGGCCATCTTCTACTACTTTCCCAGGCCACAGCAGAGAGCTAAGTCAGAAGTGGAGCAGCTGGGACTCGAACTGGCCCCCATGTGGGATGCGGGCACTGCAGGCGGTGGCTTTACCTGCTACACCACAGTGCCAGCCCCAGTAATTTAACATTTTAACATATGTTGTATACTGTGTGACAGACTTACTCTAAATATTTGGATCAGTTATTTTTGGCATTTGTTCTATATTCCCATATGCCCACTATCATTTTGGTAAATAACAGCTTGTCTTCCAATAGCCAGAAGTCTTAAGTTTTGTCAGGGGCTGTTTTCAAAATGATTCACATGACTTTGTCCATGTTGCAACGTGGGCGGACTGTACCTGAGTTTAAGGATTCCCCTGGAGGCAGCCTGAAAGGAGTGACTTTTGGTTTGGGGGGGTCATGAATACCTCAGCTCCTGTACTCTGCGTGGGCTACAGCTGAGTCACATATTTTACATCATTTTCAGTGCAATAAAACTAGGACAGAACTGCACATACAAAGAAAATGGTATGCGCCAATCCTGCAACAGCACAGTTTTATGTAAGAAGACAAGTGCAAACAAATAAGGAGAAAGTGTATAATTCAGTATCACAATTAACTATATTATAAGTGTTTTAAAGGTATGAATAAAAAGCATTTCCCCAATTTCAGAAGCAGGAAGATGAGAGAAGAGAGAGAGAGAGAGAGAGAGAGAGAGAGAGAGAGAGAGAATGCACTTCTATTTGTTGGTTTACCCCCTAAATGCCTACAATGGCTGGCACTGGATCAGGTGGAAGGGGAACCAGAAAATCAATACAGGTCTCCCCATGCGGTTCGTGGGAACACCGTTACCTGAGTCAAACTGATGCCTCCCAGGGTGTACATTAGCGGGAAGCTGGAATCAAGAATGGAGCTTGGACTGAAACTCAGGCATTCCCATATGGGGTGCAGTACCTCAAGCATCAGCTTAAGCACTAGGCCAAATTGCCTGCCCACACATTTCCATCTTCTGAGAATCAAAGTTATCTGTCTAACTACTAAGCAAACCTTCTGACTCTTCACAAATGTATTTTAACAGATGCATTGAATTTTTTAAACACTTTTTATCTCAAAGATGTATCAAACTATTCCAATATGTTTTCTAGTAGAAGTTGAGATCTCTAATGTTCCCTTTCCTAATGAAATTTCTAGCATGGATATTGTTTCTGTATTTCTAATACTAACTAATTATATAAATTTTATGCTAAATTAAATATTTAGTACTTCCAAGCATCCTAGGCGATGTAAATGTATGATAACATAATGAGAAATTATCAGGTAATGAAAGTTTGCTATTGATAAAGACAGTACTTTTTAAAAATAGCTTTGAAATTCATAAAGCAGGGTACAATGTGCTGAGATATCTTCATGTAATCTCTACTCCTTGACAAAGGTAAATGTCAGTTAATTCCTTGATTTTTAAAACACAAAGGCAAGTGAAATGTGTATGTACACTTTACATGAAACAAATAATTTACTTGAAAACCATGCTTTGCATATGTTTAAAAATATAGATAAAATAAGCAAATAGTATAACTGTCATAAAATGAATGCAGAGTTTCAAATCACAAATCATAGGGTGGAAAGAAACTTACATCTTTTGTTTTTACTTTCCTGAAAGATACATAATACATGGAATGAGGCCTCTCAAGTGGTTTCATTTGTAAAGGCAGTGAGTTCCAAGTTTTCATGTGTCTTAAAAATATACACCAAATTAAGATATAAATAACAGTAATAATTGGAATTGTATATTTTCCATATTCACGGGAAGATAGTATATTCTTGGACAAGATAACAATTACTCTGGAGTCACTTTGAGAGCAAAATCATATGTGAAAAAAATGTGATAGTATGAAATAGGGGAAATTTAATAGCCTTGAGCAAAAACTCAAAATCTATTTATACCCTAAGCAAAAGTGCAATTTTTAAAACTTAAAAAACGGTGCAGGTAAATTTGTTGAAAATGTGCTTTTTGAATGTTAGTCCATTTTGATAATAGCCATACATGACTTGTGAGAATTCTGGGAAAAAATATTAATCATAGGACACTCATGGGCTCAAGGAAGGCTTTAGTGTAGTTATATGACTGTCAAGTAGTTTTGTTGGAGTGTTGTTTCTCAAATTAGTAGCGTATTTCAGATAAAGAAAGGAAGTTGTCTTAACTTGAAACTGCTGTGTCATTTCTTCTTCCTTAACTG